GGCTACAAAGGCAAGAAGTGACTGGCTTACAAGCTTTCAAGAGAGTCTAGATCCAGAGGGCATGGAGGAAAGTAGACTCTCCACTGAGTAGTATCCAATCTCTCTGGGCAGGGCTGATGAAAGGAGATGCGGATAGGTCTCTTGTGGTACAATAATGAATAACTGTTTTCAGGATTGACTGTGAGGGATGGAAATGTAAAGGTAGACGTTTTGTAGCAAAAGGATGGGAGTGATTGACTTTGCAGTCTAGGAGCGGACATCAAGGGAGAAGAGTGGAGTGCGGGACCCTACCCAGAGAAACAGTGTCGCCAGAGATGGAGGCAGAGACGATGACATGGAGAGATGGAGTGGCTGGGGACTTTGGACCTGGAGAGGGAGAGGGCCTGTGTGCTGACGACCGGCGGGCAGGCTTGCGGAGTATACACTGTGGTTGGTGGATGATGCATGGGGGGGATTGTAACCATGGCAAGGAAACAATATACGATGGGATCAATGTGAAGCTAATGTTCTCGCATGTAAACTATCACATAACTCAAAAATAAAGCATCCTATATGCTTCAATAAAAAAAAATAAAAGAGGTTCTAGAACTCGGAAAAAAAAAGGAAGTATGTATATTTCAGAAGGTACTGAATTCAGGAAGAAAGTCTGCATATGACAAGAAGTTGGTAAGAAGACAAAGAAAAGATAAACAGTAATTAATCTTTAAGATTAAAAAGAAAGAGAAAACAATTATTTCTTAAGTGACACTTTATGAGAAATTTCTGAGGAAACATTTTCCAAAACCTTAAACCATTAAAATCTCAAACACTAGAATCAATAGGTGAGAATGCATTTTACTTCACAGATTGGAAGCAATTTTGCAAACAAGGATCTACTCAGTCAAGCCCTTCAGATAGTCCTAGCTTCTCCACTGTGGATTTCACCCATGGGGTTGCAACCCCTAATTAACCTGAGTCAATGGTCTTAAATAGCATCTCAAAAGCCTGCTTTTGGAAGGTGCTTGATGTGAAACATCATGAAACTCTTGATGCTATGAAGGAAATTCTTCACCTTCACCCCATCCTCTGCAAAGAAATTACATGATGGAGAATAACTAACTGGTCAACAGATGGTTTCCACTGGCTCCCTGCAAGTCTGCCCCTTAGTGTCAGTGAGGGCTAACACACAGTCACTAGGAGAACATCTCCATGCTGTTAGGGTAAACTTCCCTGGTGGATACTGCTGGGAGTCCCTAGATGGTGCAAATGGTGAATGCACTCAGCTGGTAACCAAAAGGTTGGGGGTTCAAGTCCATCTAGAGGCACCTCAGAAAAAAGGCCTGGAGATCTACTTCTGAAAACTCTGCCATTGAAAACTCGATGACACAGGTCTATTCTAACACATGTGGGGGTGTCATGAGTCAGAGTCCACTTGTTGTTGTTGTTGTTGTTAGGTGCCATTGAGTCAGTACTAACCCATAGTGACCTTATGCACAACAGAACGAAACACTGTCCGATCCTAGGCCAACCTCACTACTGTTGCCATGCTTGAGTCCATCGATGCTGCCACTTGGCCAATCCATCTTGCTGGGGGTCTTCCTCTTTTTCTCTGACCCTCCACCTTACCAAACATGATATCCTTCTCCAGCCACTGGTCCCTCCTGACAATATGTCCAAAGTATGAGAGATGAAGTTTGGCCATCCTGGCCTCCAAGGAGCATTCTGGCTGCACTTCTTCCAACACAGATCTGTTGGTTCTTTTGGAGTCTACTAGACAGCAACTATTTAATATATGGCTCAATGCCCTGTATACAAACAAACCTGTGCATTCCCCAATTCACGGCTTGTTGTTGTTGTTAAGTGCCCTTGGATTTGAACCCGTGATTTTGTGGTTAGCAATCCAGTGTTTATCCTACAGCACCAATCAGAACCCCAACTTGCTCAGGGCTGGAATAGCTAGCTCTTAGATGTAAGTATATGAGTTTTCTTATTAAAAAAGAATGAGCATCATCTAATGATTTATTTCCCAGTGGCTGCTAAAAAATGCAGCTCTAAGTGCTATACCAGCCGCCGTACTTCCGGCAAACAGACATCCTTGCTTCAGAAGCTCCTCTGCAGCCATCAGCTCACACCCCCTCGGGTACAAGGAAAGGTGCCTCCACGCTGCCACCCCCATATTCAATTCCCAGGACACTTCTAGGTAGGAAATTGGAGGGTTATTAAGCATCCTCTCTTCAAAGCTGCTGCTTTTGCAAAATGTTTCATTTACAGCAGTCCTCGCCTACATTTCAGAACCAAATGCTGTGCTGTGCTTCAAGGCAAACGTTTTAGCTGCTAAGGCAATAAGAACCAAGATTGTTTAAATTATTATATATTCCTTAGCAATTTTGTGTACACCCCATCTCCCCCCAAACCAAAACCAAATAAAAAAACAGAGGGACCAGAAGCAAATACTGTTGAATGACGATGCACAGAGAAGACTGTAATCACGCACTGAAATGATGAGTGTAAAACTGATGTTCTCCCATGTCAACTATCACTCAATCCACAATAAACACTTTAAAAATGACTCAACAGCAACTGGTCAGTTAAACTAGCAAAATAACCCCCTGGAACCATCGCTTACCTTCTAGTTTTTGAAACCTCCTGATTTACTCTTCAGTGTGTGGTATGTGTGTAAGCATGTGTTTCCTTACCTAGTAAATCAGTAAACTCTGCTTTGTAAAGTCCTGGTGGTCTTTCTTTCCTTTGTTCTGTGTCACTGTCTCCTTCACCTTTTGCCCAACAACACACTCCAGCTCTCATCCAACAAACTATGACAGATTAAACCTGGTTAAAATTCGCAAAGAAGAACTATCTGATGCCAATTAGGAAGCCCCTTGTTGACAAGCTGACTCTCAAATTGCCTTCCTGATTCTCACCTTGAGCTGCTGTTGTTGTTGTTAAGTGCCGTCGAGTTGGTTTCGACCCACAGCGACCCTGAATAGGGTTTCCAAGGCTATAAATCTTTACAGGAGCAGATCGCCTCATCATTCTCCTGCAGAGCAGCTGGTAGTTTCGAACTGCTGATCTTCCGGTTCGCAGCCCGATTCATAACCACTACGCTACCAGAGAATTCTTGCTCTGGCCTCTAGTCTTGGTGAGTTTTCTTCTTAAAGCTAAATGGACTCCAAATCCAGAATTACCCTTTTCCGCAAAAAATCTTCCCTCATTCTCACCACTCTCCCAGTGGTAAAAGAGCTTCCAAGACTACTATCACTGCATATATTGGGGAGTGCCACCCTTAATCTGCATTTCCCTTCTCCACTGGTAGTCCCCTAATCCCCCTCTGGGTGACCTGCTTTGTCATTGTGAAGTGGAGAGCCTGCCCCCTTCCCCTGTGATCCTGTGCTTAGGACCCAGCATGTTGGCCTGGTTTCTTGGCTGGGATGCAAATGTGAGCTGACTTACACATCTGTAGTAGATGGTTGTCTTTTGGCACACCCCTTCCCTTCCACACTGCAAAGTGTGTTCATAAGACGGCACCTGGCTAAGCCCACTGCTATAGCGTTTCCCTGTAGCACAAGAGGGGTGGGTGCCAATCATTCCCTGTGGAGTGATGACTTGATGCCCACTAGCCAATGTGACCTTGCTCCATCTCATTTCTATGTGAGTAAAGCGTTGTTCCAGCCAGTGTCTTCATGAGTCATGTCTTTTCTCGGTGACCCTGACACCTGCACACTATGTAATGGGACTCTGGCCCTAGAGGTGGTGAAAGGTATCGTTACTCAGCAGCAAGAAACTTCTCCAGGGAGAGGAGTTCAATGAATCTTCCAGGGCAGTTTCCTTCTTGGACTTGTCAGTCAAAAAGTATTGCTACAGGGGATCCCAGTACATAAATATAGGGGCTGATTTGAAACAAACTTTATTGAAACAGGTCTCGTTGATCCGTGGATGGCTGTAGACAGGTTATCTCAGTATACTTGTCTTAGTGTCTCAATAGAGTAGCTTCGAAAAAAGGTTCAATCAAAATAGTGGTTCCTGAAGGGAACCAGTTAATTTCAGGGCAGACAGGTCAGCTCAGAAGGTTATGGCAACTGCTTTGGGGAGATTACAGAGGAGGTAATTGTTGGCAGCGACTAAGCCGAGTGAGGATCTTTGGTTAAACCGAAGGATTGCAACTGAACAGTTGTGGTCCAGAAACTTGGGCTATACCCAGGTCAGGTTGCCCCCTGAGGAACTTAAAAAGCCTGCCTCAGGGAACAAGGAACTTGCAAAGTCTTTCCTTGTACACAGCCAGTCGCTCTTAACAGATTTTCTTAAAGGATACAGAATGATCATGGAGGCTTATTATGAAGAAGTTTTAAGAAAATTACAACACTGCACTGGTGAGAAAAAGACCAGGACAGCTGTGCTGAGGTTTTGTTTTGTTTTTTACATTAGGACTGGTCACTCTTCAAGGGTAGCAAGGGCTGTCCTGTGAGAATTTCATTGGGAAGCCTTGCCCTATAGCCTGATCTAGACCCTTCAGATTTGTTTTTGCTCCTAAAACAAATTTGGGAAGAGCATTTAAAAGGAACATGACTTGAACCACTTGAGGATGCCAAAACTGCTATTTTGGCATGGTTGAATAGGATCGTAGCATTGTCTGGGGAAGGGTTAGAGAGATGGAAACAGTGCTTTAGAAGTGTATGCACCTACAGGAAGGGTATACTGAGAACCATTTTGGTATTTTTTGTGTGTAATAAAGTGTTCAATGACTTTGTAGCAATACTTTTTGACTGACCCTCAAATGTAGAATGAACGCTGAATTGAGCAATACACACATTTGAAAAAAAAAAAAAAAAAAAAAGACAAGAAATGTTCTACAACTATATAATGATAATGATGAACACCATCTGGAAACAGATGAACTAAAAAATAACCATGTTTTTAAAACTACCTTATAAAGTGCTAAACAGAAAGAGAAAGAAAGAACAAAAGAAAAAAATAAAGAAGGAAAGACAGAGAAAAAGAAAAAAACTGTTTAAATAGGAAATTAAACTTCCTTATTTATTTCACTCAGGACCTAAAATATTTTAAAAGCATTCATTGAGGTATAATTAAGATATAATTATAGCACTTTTAACAACACTGCACATTCATAGACCCTGTAGGTTGACATTAAAACAAAATAATAAAAATATAAGTATAAAATATACATTTGAACTACATCTAAGCTTTATTAATAGAGACCAAGAAGAGTCTCCCTTTGCTCTACCCGAGAAAATATCTATGTTTTATTTTGACATTACACAATCTGACAGTATGATACTGGCCAGGACGCTCAGTCTGATTTAGAATGGTCCCATGTAGGAAGCAAGAAACCCTGGTAGCACAGGGGATTATGAACTGGGCTGCTAACCGCAAGGTCTGCAGTTAGAATCTACCAGTCTCTCTGCAAGAGAAAGATGAGGCCTTCTGCTCCCATAAAGGTTCACAGCCTCAGAATCACTATGAGTCAGAACTGACACCACGGCACTCAACAACTGAAAGGATGGCAGTCAAATCCACCAGTGGCACAGGAGAAGAAAGACCTGGTGAATTACTTCAAAAAAAAAAAAAGAGCTGTATTGAAAATCCTATGAAGCTATCAAGGATCAAGACTCAGTACTCAGGGTCAATAGGGGCAGGCAACTTAGACATTGCTACCAAAATTGAGGAGCTATAAAGGCACAAAGTGGCTGATTTACAAGCTTTCTAGAGTGTCCTTAGTTTCAAAATGATGGGGAAAGGTAGAATCCCCACTGAATAGTTTTCCTCTTGTCCAGATGGGTGTGTGAAAGGGGGTGGGGGAGGGTGGAGATAGGATTCTTTTAATAGTAATTGTTATCATCACTAATTGTGATTGTTAAACAAAAAGGGGGAGTAGTTATTCTTTCATTTCAGGAACACAGGACCCTAGGACCATCAAGAAGGAAGAGTATGAGTGGAGTGTGAGATACTAGCGAGAAAAATAGAAACAGCAGAGACAGTGGCAGAGGCGATGGCACAGACAGATAAAGCAGTTGAGGACTCTAGGTCCATGGACTGAGAAAAGCTGGGTGCCTGCAGGTTGGAGACTGGCTAGTAGAATGTGCCCTTTGGACATTTAAATGAATATGTATTTTCTGTGTGTTTTGTGTACATCAAGAAGAAAAAAAAAAAAAAGGAATGTTGTTGTTATGTGCCGTAGAGTCGGTTCCGACTCATAGCGACCCTGCATAGGGTTTCAGAGGCTGTAAATCTTTACAGGAGCAGAGAATCTTATCTTTCTCCCATGGAACACTGGTAGTTTTGAACTGCTGACTGTGAGATCAGCAGGCCCGATTTGTAACCACTATGCTACCAGAGCTCATTAAAAAAGGGGATAGATGTAACTATTAATGTAATCATTGCAATGAAACAAAATATGATTGGTTGAATGTAAAACTGATGATCTCCCCTGTAAACTATCACTCAATTCACAATGAAAGTTTTAAAACAAAAATCCTATGAATTTGAAGCACAGTTCTACACTCAGATACACATAGGATCTCTGGTTTTATGAAGGAAAAAAAAAAAAAAAAAAAAGCCCACATAAATACTGCACAGAAAAAGAACCACTGCCATAAATGCACAGAGAAAAACATGCACAAAGAAAATTATGTTCACAATATTATAAAGCAATAAATGCTGACCCAAACCCTACCTTTTAGACAAGAATTTTTCTGTGTTCAAATTTTTCTACCTGGCACTTTCCTTTTGCACATTTATGGAAGTGGGCTTTTTGTGTATATGTTTTTTCTAGTTAAAGGGGGTCACCATGAATTGGGATTGACTCTGTGGCAATGGGTTTTATGTTTAATAAAGAAAAAGCATGTTCCCTTTATCCTGCAAACATTTTCCTTTAAAATGTTTTCTTTAAAAAAAAGTTTCTAGAAAAGATTAGTCCACAAGAGCTCCTACACAGACGACTCCAAAATACCAGATGCTCATCTATTAAAAAAGCCAACCTCAGAGCGTCTTTCTCATCAAGCAAATGTGGGGTTGCATTTATTCCAGTAATATACTGGCATGCCTTCCTTCTAGAAGCCTGGTCATCTTTATAAGGTTGTTTGCTTCATGCCAAAAAAATAAAATAAAAAGCTGTAAAACAGCACAGTGAGTAAGGCTACCCAGGTGGCTCAAGTTTGAACACTCGTTTATCTACTTGGCAAACAACAGCGCCCTGTAGACAGAACACAGCTGACACAGTCACTGCAAACTGGCCAGGAGGTGCCCTCCCAGTGGAGGGCAGTGTCACTCCTCATTCACCTGAAAGGTCACTGTGTGAGTGTATGGGAGTGTGGAGGAGGGAGGCGAGGAACCGGGACCTGAAAGTCACATCACCGGGCTGGGATTTCATAGGCAGCCTGTGATGGTAGCCTTTGTTTAATCACTGTCACTACTGTTGAAATTTCTTTGTAAACGAATGACTTTCCTTCTTGAAAAGGTCACAAACTGAACTAGCTCTGTACTGCATTCAGGTGAGTCCGGTGAACCCTCATTGTAATCTACATGGCAAAGAACCAAAGTAATCAACTGTCAGCATGATTCTGACTGCCATATACCACGCTCCTAGCTCGCAACAAAAATACTCACAAGGAGACCCTGCCTAACTCAAACTCCAAATTCACTAGAGAGACACATTACAAAAAATGATACGGCGGCCCACGCGGAAGTATAGACAGTGGTTCTAGTTGATTGCATTTCGGTGCAGGCGGGGTCAACATGGACAGGGGCGCGGAGGCTGTAGGTGATCGAGACGGGCTCCAGGAGCAGGGAGACTTGAAGGAGGCTGGGAGGCAGAAACAAAACCCAGATGAATGGTCTCAGCCCATGATTCCAAAACACTCCTACTGGTTAGACCTCTGGCTCTTCATCGCCCTCGACCTGGTGTTGTTTTTAGTTGTGTATTTTATGCCCTGATTGGCCTGCTTGGCATCTAAATTACAAAGTTGACTTCTGGATTGGCTTCAGAGATCTTGAAGAAAGAAGACAGGATTGTGCAGCAGCAGACTTTCAAACCCCTAAGGGATCTTCATTTCATGTTATATATTCTGCTATCCATTTGGGGACTAAGTTAAATGGGGAGTGATCTCACCCATTTATAACTAAATTCTTAAAACTAGACTTTTTTGTTCATGCTTGAAAACTTTGCAAATACCAGATGGCTTTATAGGGGGTGAATATAAAAGTATTTGTATTTATGGATTTTTGGTGTATTTACTAATAAATATAGTCAGTGTATTTCGTGTAATATTTTAAAGGTTGACTAGGGTACCAGCACGATGTAACTATTTAAAAATCAAAAGTAAATTACTAAAAAGGAAAGGAGTTTGAGAGAAGGTTCCCAACGTATTTAAAAATTACATTAAGAGGCTGGCTATAAATAATAAAAAGCTTTAGAGAAAATCTAAGTCCACAATGAACTGGCTGTGAGTTTATTCTTTAGATTAAGCAAGACTGTATTATGGTTAATGGATACAGACTTAGAGAAAGCACATGTGTGCTCTCTTAACCGAAAGCTGCCACTTTCTTCCTTTTAAACCACTGAGAACTTTTTTTATTATTATGGTTGCATTAAAGATGCTTATAACCAAAAAAAAAGATACATGGCAGCAAACCCTGATACAAGGAGGTATGGTTTTAGGGCAAAGCTCAGATTTCTTTTGAATCAGATTTACTTTTACTTAAGGTTTTGTACTAATATTTACTTACTCTTTTGAGGAAATACCACATTGCTTGGGGTGTTCCAGGGCTGACATAACAAAGTACCAAAACTGGGTGGCTTAAACCTTCAGAAATGTATTCTCTCCTAGTTCTGAATGCTAGGAGTTAAATTTCAGGGTGCCGGCAGGGTCATGCTCACCCTGATGGCTCTGAGGGATCATTCCTTTCTTGTTTCTTCTAGATTCTGGTAGCCCCAGTTGTTCCTCGATTTGTATATTCATCACTCCAGTCTTGCCTCTGTCTTCACACGTCAGTCTACCCTCTTTATCGCGTCTTTTTATAAGAACACTCAGATTGGATTGGGGCCCGCCCAACTCCAGCATGAGCACATGTTAACTGGTAACATCTTCAAAGACATTATTTCCAAACTAGATCACACTCACAGGTACCCAGGGTTAGGATTTCAACATATCTTTTTGTGGGACACAATTCAAACTGCTAACTTGGGTAGGGACACAACTAAAGGTTGTAAATATGGTAATTTTTTTTTATAATATAAAAATACTGTAAATATTTTTATTTTGGTGAAAATATACACAAGGAAACAATCTGCCTCAATAATTTCTACATGTGTAATTCAGTGACACTGTTTACATTCTTCATGTTGTACAACCATTTTCCCTCCTTTTCCAAATCATCCCACCACCATTAACATAACCTCACTGCCACCTTAGTAAAACCTATTATAAATGTCCAAAACTAGTATGGAAGGTGAAGGGAGCAAGCTGTTGTGGACCAGGCCTCCAGGAAGGCAGGCACAGAGGGGTGCCCAGCCTGTTAGCACAATGTCATTGCTGAAGCCCAGGGCCCCAGCCTTAGCTGAGCAGTTTCAGAAACTCATTTTGACTGGTTCATCCCAAATTGGTTCTGTTGTGGAGGGAATTATTTGCTGGTCTAACCCACAAGCATATGGTTAGAAAGTGCAGGGGAAGTGAACATGATGAACACAGATTCTGAGCTGGCTGAAAGCAGCTCTGAGTCAGGACTCTACCTTAAATCTCCTGCCCAGAATCTCACAAGTTACCTCTTCACTGGAAGGCTTCTCATCTCACACCTAATGTGTAATCGCACCTAACCCACCTGGTCATGTGAACGAAACTCAAAACTGAAACACACTCAGTATTCACTTAATTTCCCCTGTGGATCAGGGTTAACACTGAATGCGCATGCACACACACGTGCTTGCACTGCACATGTATGCAAACATAACTCACGCAAGCATGCATGTGTGCATGCAGACACTCAGAGAATGCCCACAGACAAACACATACCCACCCACACACATGTACCCACATGCAGATGCACACACTGATGTGAGTCGAGCACCTATCAGCTATACACGGGGCTCTCAGTTTTGTGGTTAAGAAAACTTCACACCAGATGAAAAAGCTCCTTCAAATATAACACAACAAATACCATGATCTCATAGTAGGCAAGCTACATACAGCACGTGTGTGTGAACATTGCACTTGGGTCTCTGCTTCTGAATTTATGGCACAATTTTTGTTTTTTAATGAGATGAGTTTTTATTGTGAATTGAGTGATCATTTACATGGGAGAACATCGGTTTTACACTCATCGTTTCATTGCAATGATCAAAATCTCCTCTGTACTGCACCATTTTTAGATGATAAAAGCCACTCAATTTCACTAAAACAACCTGTTTTCCACAGTCCCTGTCTCTGCACATAAAACTGTTAGACAGCAGCAGACTCAGTACTTTATAAGTAAGGCCTACATTTTATACCTTTTCGACCACATTGCACTCCTCATCCTTCTTGGATACCTGTATGTGTCTCCCTACCCTCTGTGGCAGGGGCTCCTCTTATTATATTCTATAGTCCCCTCTGTTAGTGTCTACCAGGTGTGCCTGGTTTGTAGGAGCTTTTGTTAGCTGCCCTTGAAAAGGTCTCTGACTCGTGGTTACATAAAAGAATGAAATGCGGCCCAATCCTGTGCCACCCCACGACTGGTTGAAGATTGGACCACTATGGTACATAGGATTTTCATTGACTGATTTTTGGAAATACATCACCAGGCCTTTCTTCCTAGTCTGTCATAGTCAGGAAGCTCTGCTGAAACCTGCCTCCACTGATAGAGGGGTGGTAGCTGTGCATGAGGTGCTAAGGGGGCAGTTCTAGTTCTGAGCCACCACTGCTTGATTATTGTATGTCTTGGTGATGTTCTTTTAGGGTCTATCCTTCCTGGGGTTTGCTGAGCTTCCTGAATGCTTATCTTTTCGCTTTCAAGGATGTTAGGGAAATTATCTTCCAGCAGCTTTTCAACTATCTTCTCTGTGGACTTACGTGATTCTTCCTGTTTCAGAATGCTGATAATTCTTAAGTTATTCCTCTTCCTGTTGTCCAACATGAATCCCAGACCGTCTTCAGATTTTTAATCCTTTTTTTTTTTTGCTTGCTCTTCTATCTTAGTAGTAGTATTGAGAGATTTGTCTTCCAGCTCACTGGTTCTGGCTTCCATCTCTTCAATTCTACTCCTTTGCCCTTTCAGTATAGTGTCCATTTCTGATATTCTATTATTAATCACTTGGACCTCTTTCTGTAGGTTCTGAATTATTTCTAATGCTGTATTTATTTTATTTGATTGTTTCTGTAGCACTTTCCTGACTTCTTCCTTATTTTTCCTCAACTCCATTGTATAGTGTTTTGATACATTTTGTAATCATTTTTCTGAATTCCTTCTCAGGCATTTCCAAAGCCTGTCCTCCTTCTAGTATGGAGTGTAGGTATACCTCCAGCTCATTTGTCTCAGTCACTTCATCTCGTTTCTGGACATGTGCTGATATGATCATCTGTTTTAATTTTTTGCGCATATTAAGTAGTTATAACTGTGGCCTTAATACTTAGATGGGTGTGTGCTTTGATATTGTTTATGCTTTCTCATTGCCTCCAGGTAGATGTAATCAGGAAGGAGATGGATTTCCCTTATTTACTCTTCTTCCTGAGAAATTTCAAGATACCACTGTTGGTCGTTATGATGTAACTCAGGATATAATTTTCAGCCTGTTTCCTTTTTAGTCTGCCTGTCCTGCTCCACAGCCCCCATTCAGGCCTTTTTCCTAGTTATAAATAGTTCATGGCTGGCTGTGGCCATTTTGCACTGCTGTTGGTTTTAAGTGGAAACTGTCCTTTTAAATTTCGAGATATGTGCACATGTGCAATAGGAACCCTCGGGGGTGGGGTGTCCACTCGCTCAGGCATCCCCTCTAGTCACCAGAATGGAGGTGCACAGACAGTGAGACACCAATGAACAGATACAAAAAAAAAATGTCCACACCTTTATCTCCTCGTTTCTGTCAAGTATCCGTGGCTGCTCTGAATCTTCCCCAGCTCGGTCTCACCCAAGATGGCCACTCAGGGAGCAGCTGAGCATCTTTAGTTAGAAAGCACTGTATTTCTTGCTTCTGCTACAAATTCCACTGGCTGTAAGCCTTCCAACCTTCTAAATATTCCTTTATATGTGATTCAGAGTTCTGGGACCATCCTCTGAGCCTGCTTGGTCTGGTATTCTGTGTTGTTGCTGACAGAGCTCCTCACTACACTTCTCCCCTATCTGCCATCTTGTTCTTTCTCCTAAACAATTATATATTCTGGAGTGTTTTTTATGTACATCAAAATAAATAAATAAAGACAAAAACAGAGGGAATAGAAGAAGCAAATACTGTTGAATGGTGATGCATGGAGGGGACTGTAATAATTGCAATGATATGAAATACAATAGGATACTAATGTTCTCCCATGTAAACTAACAATCAGTGCACAATAAAAGCTTTTAAAAAAAACAATGTCTGGAGATCTACTTGCGAAAAATCAGTCATTGAAAGCTCTGTGGAGCACAGTTCTACTCTGACACACATAGGGGTTGCCATGAGTCAGAGTCGACAAGACAACTGGAAAGGCAGGCTACTGCTGGAGGACCATCGTCAGCATCTCCTTAGGAACCCAGTGACCAGGAAGTTCATGGGCCCCTTTAATCCCGAGCCAGTCATGAGTGCCAGGATCTCTGAGCTTCCTGTCCCCACCCTGCTCCTCCAAAGTTCTGGACCTTCAGTCAGGGCACCTCCAAAACATTTCAGTCATATGTTTAAACACACCCAAAGGAGAGTGGACATGGCTGCTGAGCCTGTAAGAATGGAATTTCTATCCACAGAATGGAAATCAGGAGCCCTTTCACAC